CAGCGATCCTGATCCAGAGGCAGCAAAGCAGGCCCACATCATGATGCTCCCTCCACTGTACTTCACTGTTGGGATGTTTTCATGTTGGCACTGTATGTGGTTCTCTTTTTATGCCATATGTAGTGCTGTGTGTTCTTCCTAAACAATTCTACCTTTGTTTTATCCACAGGACATTTTCCCGTTGTGGACTGTCAAGGTAGTGTTCTTTTTGGAGAGCAGTGGCTTCCTCTGTAGTGTCCTGCCATGGATACCATGCCTGTTCAATATTTTGCATATGAACGGAGTTGTTAAGCAACTCCAATGAATCATTCAAGTCTTTAGCTATTACTCTAGAGTTGTTGTTTTTTTTTACCTCACTGAACATTCTGCATTGTGCCTTTGAAGTGACCTTGGCTGGGCGCCAACTTCTATGGAACGTAGCCATAGGACCAAATCATCTCCATTTATAAACAGTATGTCTAACTGTGGACTGATGAATATCTAAAGTCTTTGAGTTGACTCTGTAATCCTTTCCAGCTACATGCAAATCAAGAACTCTTGATCACAGGTCTGACATCTCTTTTTTTGTGAGGCATGGCTCACATCAGCTGATGCTGCTTGTGAATGGCACACTGACACTGTTTGGATGTTTTTATAAGTCTAGGTAGTTCTAAAACCACATCTCCATTTTCGTTTCATTGACTAGAGTCTAGGTTTGCCAACACCTGACTCCAGCTGAGGCTTAGTGCCATCAGAAGCCGAGTGTTGCCAGAACTTTTTTCCACCATCACTTTGTATGTTTAATGGGTGTGTTTAATAAAAACATGAAAGATAATGGTTGTTTGTGTTTTATTAGCTTAGAAATATGGTATTTGTTGATATTTTTGACTTTGATGAAGATCAGATCACATTTTATAACCAATTTATGCAGAAAACTAGGAAACTGCAAACAGTGTCATTACTTTTTCTTGCGACTGTATATGTATATCCACCACCTACCGGTGTTGAAGACATGCACGTCAATCTGACGGAGTGTCTCGTAGTCCTCCCCGGAGCAGTAGCCTCCAAAGGAGTACACCTTATGTCCCACCGCCACAGCAGCATGGTTGACTCTCCGTGGCCCTCCTTCTAGGTGCACCGACCAGCGCAACATTCCACGCGCAAGCACCTCTGTGACTACCAGTCCTTAGACCATCACTCTGTCACCCATCTGGATCCCATCAAGCCAACATCACTGAAACCTGTGATCACAGTGACAAGAGTAGCAGCACTCTTCTTAGAGGAACAGTGGGGTAAACTGGGAGGGGCAGTTGAGGAAACACAAAGGGAAATTGTTTGCCCTCTTGGACTAAGAGCTGCTCAACTCTGCTATTGCTGACAGGCTCACAATCCCCTGTATCATCTAAACTGGGAGAGTATTTTAAGAGGTGATTAGACCCACACCACTGCTCTTTCTTTCTGTTCACTCTTACCCCGTGCCCTCTTGCTGCACTAAAAAAAAGTTTTAAATATAGATCATATAAATAACTATGCAACCCTAGGGCAATGCCATACCAATAAAAATGTCATATCATTACACACAAACTGCTTCAGCGATTCATACTAGGTTAGAGGTGTCATAAAGTGAGCGTGTTTCTAGTCTACTGTACAGAGAGCAACGATACAACTCTCATTTGGCTCAAAACTTAATAAAAAAAATAAAAATTTGCCAACTATCTGTATATTTAGCTGAAAAAAGTCTGCAAAATAAGTTATTATAACTCTTGTTGAGCCCAGTGTGGCCCTGCTTATTCTGTCTCAGTTACTCACTTTCTCACTGACCTCCAACCTTTTATTTGCTTAAAGAAGACTATTAACATAAATCCAAGGAGCAATGTAGGCAACAGACAAATATGAGTTAGCCTTATTAGTCCTTGTTTTGTTTACCACTTTTTCGCTGTACTGTAAAACCTGCCATGTAACCACAGAACGCAACTGCAGGTAAATACAAATAAACAAATAAGTTTCCAAACATTCCTACTCTAAGGAGAACTTTTAGCAGTTCTCATCTTGTCGTTCTAACACATAGCTAGGTTTTGAGAACAGTGGCATCTTTGTGAGAGTTGAGCGGGGTGGAAATCAACTCCTTACACCCTTCTGACCCACTGAACAGGATACTGTTGGTATCAGATGACTTACCCATAGCACAGACAACGTCAAAAGACCACAGTGGCTTTATAGAAAATGTGAGTCGTTTAGCAGACAGGGAAATCAATGCATACTACAGCACACGTCTCAATTGGCCTTGTATGCTGTGGACGCACAGGTCGTTGACTGATCAAGCTAATCTAACAATAAAGCCAGTGACACTGAGCTGTAACACGCTTACTACAGTCCAGTTAATGTCTCATACACAAGCTTAACAAAGACAACAAACGCCTTGTGGGACTGTGACTGCATTAACAGCCAGGGTCGCTTGTCCCACAACAGCAACTTTCATGACAACCGTATAACGATATTACTCCTCAATCCAGCTGTTTGCTAGGTGTCCAGCAAAAGATGTTGCTAGCTGGGCTAAAGCTAATCTGTAGAAGATAACGTTACCTTATTTAGCTTTCAGCTAGCTAACGCGAACTGAACATAAGCGACCGGTAAGAGTTAACACAACAGCGTTTATTTCCAAACTTACGCCCTTTTAAACTAACAAACAATAATATCAACATAAGCATATAATTTAGCTTACCTTCAGATAAGTCGCTTGTGGTTATGTGGTACTTAGGCTGTACTATCCACTGAGAGTCACTGCCGACTCCCTCGTGACGTCTCGAGAAGGGAAGTGTTGAAGCGCGAGCACCATCTATCGGTCGTTTTCATTTTCACGTGGACAAAACCTTGAACTACCTACGTGCAGCAGTGAAATGCAGGCTAATGTTCATGTCTACACATTTCTCATCGAGGGACTATTTACATTCCCAAGGCAAAGTTAAGCTTTTAGATGCAGCCTGACCTGATTAACCTGTTAATAAAAGTGAAAACGGGTCTCCACAAATAATCTAAATTAAGTAAAAATATAAGACAGAAAATAACTGATTACATACAAGTGACTCACCTAAATCATCACTGGTGCAACCCATTAGTCACATAATTAGTTAAATGGAAATCAGCTGTGTGAAGCTTATGTTTTTCAGGTGACTTGAAGTATAAACACACCTGGTTCTGGAAGGTCAAATTGCTGCTGAATCGGTATCCTGGCTAAATATTACACCATGAAGACAAACAAGCATTCTAGACAATTCTGGGAAAAGGTTATTAAACAGCATAAGTCAGGGGATGGGTACAAGAAATTTCCAAAGTCACTGAATATCCCTGGGAATTTAGTTAAATCCATCATTAAGAAGTAGACGGAATATCGGACATACCGTACATAAATCTGTCTACAGCAAATACCGAGTGACAATGCAAGAAGGAGACTAATGAGGGAGGCCACTAAGACTACTCTGAAGGAGTTACAAACTGCAGCTGAGACTGTGCATCAGTTGCCCAGGTTCTTCATCAGTGATAGGATTATAGGACAAAGCCACAGCTGAAAAAAGCCTATATTAAATCTGAAGTACAGTTTGCCAGATGGCATATGGGATACTCGGAAGAAGTTTCTGTGCGATACAAATAAAACTGAGCTTTATGCCCATCAGACTTGGCACCAAACCAAACACTGCACATTATCACAAACACAGCATCCCCACCATGAAGCATGGTGGCGACAGCAGGCCCTGAAAGGCTTGTGATGGTAGAAAACAAATGCAACAAAATATAAAGAAATCCTGTATGAAAATCTGATACAGTCTGCAAGAGGGAGAATATTTGTTTTTCAGCAAGACAGTAACCCCCAGCATACAGTCAAACACGCAAGGTTTCTAAAGACTATGATGCAAAATTTCTGCAGTGGCAGAGTCAGAGCTCAGAGCTCAGTGCAATTGAGAATTTGTGGCTGGATTTGAAAAAGACTGTTCACTCATGATCCCATTACAACCTAACGGAGCCTGGGCTGTCTTCCAGAAGAAGAACGAGGGGGAAATTGCAGAGTTCAGGTATGATACCTATCTACACAGGCTTTGTGCTGCCAAAGGGGCATCAACCAAATACTGACTTAAAGGGGGTGAATGCTTATGTAATCACTTATTTGTTCTTATATTTGTAATTAATTTAGACTATAGAGATATTTTTCACTTGGACTTTTTTTTTTCTGTTGATCGGTGTCAAAAAAGCCAAATTAAATCAACCATGATTCAGTGTTGTAAAAAATAAATAAAATGTGAAAACCTCAAAAGAAGGTGAATATTTTTATGGGCACTGTATGTTGTTTCCAAGTGTCCAATACATAGTGCAAACAGGGAGATTTAACACAGAAATATGCATACTGGGACATCTGAATAGAATGAATTAGTATGATTATTAATTTGATTATTAACACTCATGGTCCTTCTGCCTTTTATCTACTGAGAAAAAGCCTGCCAAAATGAACCTTAACACAAAATGTCTGGGGGGCCTTTTGAGTCTGGGACCCCAGACGTGGGACTTGGCAATGAGATATAAATATGTAGTTTCAACCTGCAGGGCCAAGGAAAAGAAAAAAAATAAAAATTACAGATTTTCTGAAACATAAAATTCTGATTTTTTTCTTGTGAAGTAGGTACTTTCACTTACCCAGACCTATAAAAATCCTTAAAATAAAACAATCTGAGAAGAGAAAATTACATTGCTTATAAGACATCCACATTAAGGCCCTAATACTCACATTAAGGGGTCACAAGTCAAAACATTTGGGAACCACTGACAATGAAAATCGTAGAACAAGCTAATGAAACCCCAGCCCTACCATTTACAGTCAAAGCAACAGGTCACTCTTTCTGTCACACACAAGAAATTGGAGCAGCAGGTGGTGCTGTCACACAGATTTAGGATCGTTCATACGCTCTACAGGTTGTCATAGCCTCCTGGCCAAAATGTTTCTAAAAATGTGATCCCTGTTCTGGTACTAGTCAGATAATGTGCTCAAATAATCCATTTGGTCTTGTTTAGGTGCACTTTGGCAATGCATGTAATAATTAGATACACTGTGCTGGCTGCTTGCAAGGCACCAGTTCATGAGGACTGGTGGGCATGGACCGTCTATGGAGATCTCAGTGTTTTAGTTTGATGATGTTTAAAAGACTTTAGTGTAGAATTGTGGTCAAACTGGAAAGCTCTTATGTATAAATTTGTGTTTGAAATAAAGAAAAGTCCCTCATCTTAAAACTATTACATCTAAGCTTAGTGCTGTTAATAAAAAAAGAATGTGCTTTTAGGCAGCTTGCCTGGATGGGAGAACAAATTAGGCTTTATCTGAGGTTAAAAAGGGCATGATCAAGGCAATGGAGCCAAGGATAAAAGTGAAGTATGTATGTGTGGTAGTAGTATGCAAAGCCATTGCTATGAATATGAACACAATGAATTGTAGTAGATCCATTAAACAGCCTGTTTCACATGGCACTTAACGCAACTCGATTTTGCTACCTAACTGTTAATAGCATTGAACTACAGTACAAAGAGGCAGCTTTAGTTTGATCAGCTTGGCTCCACATGGTCAGGCTGAAATGAAAGCGGAGCCATGTAAAAAGGGATTATGACACCCAGGAGCCACTTTACAGCTGCCATAGATCTGCCCATATCAGTGTCTAGGTCTGGCCTGCTTCAGGGGGCGGGGTTGGCTTTGATTGACTCACTGTGTGTAGTCATTCCAAGCTCATGCCAGCTGCCTGTCATGCTCAATGATGAGATTGTGCCTGAGGCTGCCCAAACGACAGCTGGCTGTGGCTGCCCCTTGGAGCTCTGATAGGTGTTTAGTGGCTGCAGACAGGCAACTACTGAAAAACAGATTAAAGCACATTGTATGTGCAGTAAATTCTAAAATTATCACTCAAGAAGTTAAAACATCTAGAGCTCTGTAGTTTGGTGACCATGTAGAGTCACTTAATGTCAGTTCAATATAAATCTACATTTTAGAAGTGCTGGGTTCTTTATCTGGACAGATGAAAAGTCTTAAATAATGTTGACAGTCTTATCTATAGATCCAAATTAGCTGTCTACTCAGCAGTCTTTTCTCCTACTCTAATGACAACTGCAGCTGGATGATATTATTTTGGTAGTGGAAATGGCCTGGATCAGTTTATATAAATGATCACATCTGTGGGACACAGGATGTAATTTGGGATAATGGTTTTGTATTGGAGCTAGTATATGCAAATCTCATATTGCAAAATGACACGAGACAATGAGATAATGCACCAAATTTATACCAAGGCACGTACACATTTCCTCCTCCTAGATGTGCCTTGTTTCAGTCTTTAATACTGGAAATATCCTAACAATTCAAGAGAAAAGGGGACGAAAACTACAACAGTTCTTAGTTGGTTATTCCTATAGGCTATAGTCTCGTAATCATTTAAAGATTTTTCTCTTGCCTTCACAGTGGTAATACACTACATGTAACTAGCAGTTACAAAATGTGAGTTTCTCATCACAAAGGAACAAAGAGTCCACCCCAGCCCAGTAAACCTTTTTTTAATCTCTTGCAGCTACACCCAGTCTGTTCTGCCATCCCACCTGTCAGCATTTGCACAGATTGCATCACCCATCAGCCCTGCTGAGCAAACTCTTTGACACATTTGCTTAGTGGTGTGTTTTACAAACTTTCTAGCCAACACATGTGGTGTCTGTCTGTTGTCACAGAGAACAGGAGTCGTCCAACTGCAGCACAGCTCTTCAAGTCAACAACAACTGCTAAAACCAACTGTTGTTTGGTATTTTTGGGCAGGCCCAGTGATGGAAGAGCTTTGCAATGCGTTGTGGTGAGAAAAGTACAGCCTCTCCTTAAGTGACTCATTTGGTTAACCTTTTTCTTTACCATGGCACATAAAAATCCTAAGTGTGCTGTTATTATGAACAGTAAAGCCAGCTCCTTGCAAACTAAACCAATAAATGAAAGGACAAGGAAATAACCTGCACCTCAATTATCTTCACTTACTGTATGAATATTACACTAGTGGATCTACTCCTGAAGCTCATCCATAGTTTCCACTATGTATTTCCATTGCATGGACCCAAAATATGTAGCGATCTTGTGCTCCAGCACAGTCATGGTGTTGCTGGGACCATTAACTCAGAAAGTCTTTGCTGTAATAATACCAAATCCTGTTACAAAATAGTACCTATACCACCTAAGCCAGCACTTCACTAAAGTGTGCAGAGATATGCCCTGAATGTTTAGTGTACTGATTTGACTTCCGCTATAGATGGATTAGGTAAACAGCATTAGGCAGTCCAGAATGATCTAACTCTGTGGCCTGATGACTGAATCATACATTTTCCTTTAATTTTCTGGGTTATTAAATGAACAGAGCTTCTCTTTGTGAGTTTCTGATGATTGGTATGTGCCTTAGGTCATTTTATCACTCATGGTTAATTTGAGTAGCTCTGAAAAAGGAGTGAAATTAGTATTTTATCACAGCGTTTTATTGCTTGGGATATGTTTCCTGTTACTAATTAACTAATAAATCATAGTTTATAAGCAAAGTTATGTGGCCAGGCAGGGAGGCCAGTTATTGGACAAAGCTTAAAATCCTAAACAGATTTAATAGAGTATTACCATTTCCACTCTGATTATAAAAACATGCAAAAATGCTTAGGCAGCAGTCAGGATCTGTGAGAACGGGTTTGACTTTTATGACTATTGACCTCTGACTTGAAAATCAATTAAAGTTCAAGAAAAAAAGAATCCCTTTTAGGGGCCCATTACTTATTGCAGTGCGCTTGTCATCATTTTGCCTCCCCCAAATAAATAAAAGAAGGGAAGGAAAGACTTCTGGTTTTAATTCAGCTGGAGGCTAAAAAGGCTGTTTGCCATCTACACTGGTATACTTCATTGTTTTTTTGTCTGGTTTGTGACATTATGTGCTTGATACAGTTTAGCTAATTACTTTCGTTTTCATGGGAGTGATGATGATATTTATTACCATCAAGTATGTGCAATATAATAATTACCATTCTTCAGG